AAAATAAAAAGGCTAGCAAGCAATGCTTAGAGAATTTTACCTGTGCAAATAATGGCTGTCTATGCTGCTCCGTGCGTTAGTTGTTTCAGTGACGATGTTTTAGGCTTCATGTGTTGTTTTTTCTTTGCTCTCCATTTATGTCAACAGAAAAAAAACCACGCATGCTGCGATTTTACTTCGAAGAGAAGAAAAGAAATTTCAGTAGGATAGTATACCACGCATCAACATTCAAGCTGTCGTTTGAGTGAATGGCTTTTATCAAAAAAAATGAATGAGAAGAGGCGCAGAGCTCTCTTCAAAACATGTCTTTTTCGATGGGAATCATTAAAATGGCTTGAATTCATAATTGAATACAGACAATGAAAAGAAATAAAAGTTGATGACAAAATTGTTTAGTCTATATTAATGGTGGTAACTGATGATGTTAGAGTAAGTTCCTGGTACGATGAGCTTACGATGAAAATGTGGGATGTGAGTTATAGTGCGTAAGTGCGCTGGTAAGATGACGGCTGCAGCTCCACGAAAGTTTGTTTTCGGATGTTTGCTCGCAAAACAGTAGTGCGCGAACGTCTGCTTATTAGTTGAAATGCTAGGCGATACATGCTCATTGGAATTATCAAGGTTCAAAATCATACTTTTTTGGTGGAATTAGTCAATAAGTTTCCTTTTTAGATGTGTACTGGAAGAAAGATGGGATTTATATCACTCAACAACAAGCTATTTCACAGCTTGCAACATATTTGATAATCTGTCGATAGAGTACTTTCCAATACAGAGACAATTCTCTTTCACTTTTGAAAGTTAGAACCTTCGCCTGCTAGGGTGACCGTTAGCTGGCCATGCCCAAAAATAAGAATAATTCATATTGACATTATATTAGTAAAATTGTTAATAAAGGATTTCATCGATACGCAATTGAAAAGAATTACATTACGATACCTGCCAACTTAACGATGATAGGTGTGGATGTTCGTTTCCTCTTCATTGACACCCATACTTACCACATACTAAATCCAATTTTCCTGTCATTTAAATTCGTATATCAAAATATAGAAAATTTCAAGTTTTACAAAACTAAGACCATTACTTGCAAAAAGAACATTTTACCTTTGCACAGTAGCCCAAAAATTTATATATCCTTCATATTCCCAGTACAATGCATCGTTGCACGTGCTTTGCAAAACTATGAAGGATCTTGAAAGCAAAGAATTTATATCAAAAGATAGATAATTTTATCCTCTATTTGGCTGATTCACTTTCGAGTATCGAAGCTTTACTAAGGACTTGAAAATCCCTTGGAAATATCCTTCATAGTGATTTTGAAAATTTTTTAAACAATGAAGCTTTTTCTTCAGTTAAAGCTTAGTTACACTGTAATTATTTGGACACCAAAAAATACAGAATTCCGTTCACGACAAGATTACGTGGTCGTTGAATCGCAGCGCGATATATTTTCGTTAAAATTCCTGAAAAACCGAGCAAGCTCCAAAATGGATATAAGACTTTCTTTTTCATTTATTATGTTCTGAATTTGAACATGAAACTGTCATTTAGAGCTTTGAAAGATAGACGATCTCATTGAAAATATTTTCATCTTTTTAGAAACCTTGTGACTTTCTCAGTAACGATATCACATGGTTTTTTTTTTCGTTTGTTTTAAGTTCCGCAGTAGGGATATATAGTGTATTAGTTGTTTCGAAATAAAAAAAAAAGTTCTTTATAAAAGTGAAGTTCAATATTTTGTCGAGTTTGAAATTCTACTACTTTTAATGTATGAATGAACAGTCAATGATTGAAAAACTGCATTTACAATTAGTCCGACTCATTATGACTCACCCATTATTTTTTAAAATTCATCTTTAGAAATAATAGAACATATCGCATTTTACTTGGAGCCAAGGAAACCTAGGTTGAATCAGCTTTATGACGAATCTAATCAAGAAATGACCGAAGTCTATCTTCTATTATTCTAGATCATATCATCACTAGCGTTCGCCTAACAATAAAGTTTTTGCGCATAAAACGTTTTGCTAATAGTTTTCTTTAGCATTTTGATATTAGAGAGATCTTTATATTTATTTTTTTATTTTTCTATTAAATTTATTTCGTAAAGTTCATGTGGCGGCTCAATTAATCCATTTTCTCTTTCTCTTGTATAACCAAGTGGATTATTTATATATTTTATACCATCACCAATATCCAATATCATTTTACGATGACTATGACCTAATAAAAAAAAGTCTTTTTTAGCATAGAATGTTTTGTTGATACTACTAACCAAATATGTGTATTTGTGGTTTAATTAATTTTAATTGCTCATCTAATAATTCAGTTCCAGCCACTAATGAAAAATTAGCTGTCAATGTTCCGCTTGTTATTTCTTCATTCTGTGGTGTGTTGTTTTGACTTTCGAGCCATTTTTGTCGACGACGGGACATTTCACTACGATATGCCTGCATTAATTTTCTATGTTTAAAGAAAATAAGGAATTTTGTATGTAATAAACCTAGTAATACTGTCATTCAATACGTACTTGCTTGTTAAAAAATGTGAAAATGTTATGATTTTTGAGTTGCTTTTATTCTTATTTAAACTGGATAAATGTTGCTCATTTAGATTAACAAAATACTTTGCAGCTTCACGTTGTGGTACTTCCTAATTTTTTTTTTGTTAAAAGAAAAATACAATATAAAATCTATCAAAAATATAAATCTTAGCTTTTTATACATCTGTCCATTGACACCGATAATAATCCATCCAGAGTTGTAAGTCACTTTCAACATTTGGAACTGGCATATGTAAGCTATCATCATACCTAAAAAGAATATAAGTAAATAGTAAAGAAAATATTCATGTGCTGCGCAAATATGATAGAAAGAAAAGGTGACTATAATGTTTTGACTAGAGAACGGGATATATGTAGGCTAGTAGAGATAGACCTCCTCTATCTAATAATGCATGCGTTAGCGGGTTCTACACTGCGTACTGTTGACATATCAATACGTGGTGCTGTAGTATCTACGATACAAATTATCAGTAGAGCAGCTAACGGTGAAACTAGAACTGTAGCTCCTCTTCTGTTTTGGGAAGAGTAATGGAGAGTGTAGCTACTTTATTGTCACCATCTATTCTTGATAACACGACACACTTAGTGAGGGTACCACTAGTCACTGCCCAACCAAAATAAGAGGGGTGCTAGTGTTCTGGCCCTATCGTTACACAGATCATCAGATAGAAGAAGTCTATTTTCATAAGCCTACATATATCTCACTCTGTAGTCAAAAATCATCGAAAAACTTATAGTCATCTTTTTGTAGCAACAAAGCCACAAGGCTGTTGAATGAAAAAATTAGGGAAAATACTTCATAAATCTTCCGAATCAAAATAGTTTTTCTTGCATTTATTTTAGAAAGACATCAGTTGTGTATCTAGCGATTGGGCAATTGTCTACGTCTTGGAAAGTTATGGTCCAAGGATTTTTGTTTTTTGGAAATAGTAATAACTGTCCATAGCTGCCTACTTCTGAAAACAGTTTGACTGATAAATTATCCTCAAATAAAATATCTCTGACTACACCACTGAAAGACATATAGGTTACGTAAGTATCATTTAAATTTATATTCTCTAATTTTTTTGTTAAGGGAGATGAATTTGAGAGTAAAACATCAATATGACACTAACCATCCATACAAGGGCACAATAGTTACACCTTGACTAGTAACACCAGGTCTTGTATGTATACCAATATCATCGCAAATTTCTAATATCTAAGAAAACGAAATAAATGTATGAGTACTGAATAGAATAATAATTATATATTATTGTTTTCTACATAGTGAAATTTTTCTATGGAATTATGAATTTGTAATTCTTCATCTTCTCTTAATGATTTTGTCCATAATTCATGATTGCCCGGACAATAGTAAACATCTTTAAATTTTGACTTGAATAATTTTAATGTATGTACTAATTCGGATAGAACATGTATAACATCACCTAGAATACTCTAATATAATTTTGTAACAGAACATTTTTTTCTAGAATTAATTTTTTTGAAATATATAACACTAACCTGCGATAATTACTGTATCATTTAAATATTTATCATTTAACAAATGTTCAACCCATTTCATATTCTCATCATGATCCACATGAAGATCCGAGATAGTATATATCTTTTCATCGGATATTTTAACAAAAAAGAAAAAAAAAAACAACAAATAATACAGTGTGCGAATTTTATAATATAAGATGCTTGAATGAATAATAACTACATGCATCCACGTATGTTTAAATAGGTAATTGTGAGCAAAGAACAGAATGAAAAAAAAAAGGTATTCGATCGACTATCATCATATCGTCTCTTTTCTTTTATTACTTGCACTGCACAACCCATAGTTTATAGTCTATTGTGTTAGCTATTTGCCAATCATGATTCATTCGGAGTTACTTATAATTGGTCATATTTAATCTCTAAAATTTATGTACAGAAGAATGATGTTAAAAAAACCATGTAATATGGCTACGACTGATTGACTATTTCGTTTTTTTAATGAAAGTTTTCGGTATAAAAAAAAACGATGTTGGGAGCTTTCGAGTACAGAGAACATGAATTTGACTTCGATTAATCTGGAGAGGCAACAGCTAATTGAGATGATTGCGCATTTCTATTAGTCTAACTTGATTTTTAGAAGATGCTGCATAATCATTATGCCCATACGATTCTTTCGCTAGCACTAAAATATGGAAATGAAATCTTTAGAGAAGATTAGACATTTCAAGAGGACAATATAAATCCTCACATTCAGCACTAACTCCAGCAATAATGCTACGAAAAGTTTCCGTCTTTCATAGACAAGAATCATTGATCACTAATGATTTCAGATTTAAAATGATTGTATCAGCAAATTTGTTGCAATCATCAATTGAAAGAAAGTAACATCGAAAGACATATTTATTGAAAAATTGAAACATGCAATCAAAAAAGCCATTCGACATGACGCTGTTTTACAAAATTGTTCGTCTTGTACTGTTTGTTTGAAACATACATGAGAAACTAGTGGATGTTGTCCATGTAACTAAAAATAAAATACCAATTTGTTGGGAATTTAGAGATGAATCTTTAAGGAAAAAGTCTAAAACAACAAATATTCAAAGAGACATCATTAAAGTGCACATAGACGCCGTTCTTTCTATGACCTCGGCTACTCTTTCTTATCTTTGCATTCCTCGCTCTTCTCCCTAGCCACCGATTCGAATAGACAAATTAGTACAGTAGTTGTTATTTGTTTGGCAGAACAGAATGTTGCTGTAATCATCCATTATTTATCGTCTGCGAAGTTAGATGACGAAGTGACCGAAAAATGTCATTCGTTCGACGTTTGTGCTCTTGTTGTTCAGTCAGATGTATGAAAAAAAACGAACTATTTCATCAAATTGTAGAAAATTTAAATCAATTTGATATCGTCATTTCGAAAGTCAATTTTGAGCATTGGAATGAACCTAACGAAAATAATAAAGCATATATTGAATGCATATAGATTACTCTTTGAACATAATGAGCTTTAAGAGATATATTTGAAGATTTCATCTCGAGCTAGGTTTCTTTCTTCAAACAATACATATTCGATTTGTATCAGAGTAATAGAACATCGTACTATTCATTATCATATGAGCTTGTCGATAATTGAAGATCGAATACCATGAAAGACCGACAATTATAATCATTTTTT